TTTGGCACTATAGAGGAAATGTAAAGTGTCACAGGTACATAAGAGGAAGTAGGGGGAGCTGAGGCAGTGGGGTGACAATTATTGAGCCATCACATAATTTAAAACATTAAATTTGTCATGTTGGAGTCAGCAATTGAATATTTGTCCTCAGAATGTCACCGATACCTTCTACGACATCAGCTTTCTACCGATGCCATCAAATTGGTATCTGGGGATTTTTGTCCTCATTAAACATCACTGATTTGTTGCCATGTCCTGTGAAGATTTTTTTAAACCGTCCTGCTGATTTTCTAAACTATTTAGATTAGAAGAAAATGGCAGGATGTAGATTCTCTCAGCAGAATATTGCATTGTGACAAGATGAGGTATTTTGTAGGTTTTAGTTGTCTGGGATAGGGCTGGGCGATATGACGATTTTAGACCGTTTTACGATCTACACATCTGACGGTCTGTCATTTTTGAGAGACCGTTTTATCACGATTCACAGCTCTGCTGTTGAATTTCTGCCTCTGAATGAAAAGGGAACTTACCTCAGGCGAATGACACGCCTTTGTTTGACCCTTAACCAATCAGAGTGAGTCATAGTAATATATTAGTGCCCCGCTTGTTTTCATTTGTGTGTGAACAAACATGGCTTCGCCGCGGCTGGGCGACACGTTCCGAAGAGGAACGCAGGGTTTCCTTAGCGCGCGGCGCTAACAACTTAGTGACGTGACATGTCTCGGAGAAAGCGTAAAAACACGTTGGACGCTTCTTCTGAAGCAGGAAAATAACACCGCTTCTTAAGCAGAGCACGACGTCACCTCGGCTCGTTCACCCTCTGCCGAGCCGGTGTCGGTACCGGACTGAGCTCGGTCACTGGGTCGCTGGAGCTGCCCCGTGACTGCCTGATGGAAAACCAGTGGGTTTCATCAGACTCGTAGTTTCTTGTTTTTGTTGGGGACCCCCTGTAATTTACCGCTCCCTCCTGCAGTCTTCCCCTATTAACATTTAAAATGATTCTGTAAACTCCGTGTATCAATAGAAACAATCTCTGCCTCTGCCAGCTGCAGTAAATGTTGTTTCCAAATAATAAGAGGTGCATTCATCTGTGTATCTCCTTTGATCCACATTAGTGATATTTTCAGCACCAGAACAGGGAAGCAAAGAAAGATTCCTGAGTTTGTAAGTAATTTTATTTATTAGGTGCATCTAACCTGTTCTTTTTTTCTCTGAAATGAGATCAAATCAGTGCTTCTATGGGTTGTCTCCAATCTGCACTGGAAAGTTTTACTTTATTTAGAGACTTGTTGCAGAAAATATCAGAATGCGCAGTTTTTTGCTACCACAAGCGATCTCTGGTCCAGCCGCACATCAGAGCCGTATTTGAGCTTAACTATCCACTACATGAGCAACTGGGAGCTACATAGTATTTTGAACAAGTTAATGTTTGCACAATACGTTTGCAATTGACATGTTTGCACTTTAAATATGTTTACGATTTTAATTTATGTTAAGTTACTTGAAAAACGAGAAAAACTGATTTTTGTAATTGTTTCTCTCAGGGCTTTTATCATCTCTGGTGTGAGTTTAAAATATAAGTGTGTTAGCACTGTGCTGATTATCCCTAATATGAATAAATGTCTATTTATTCAATGTTTCTCTTCTTTAATACGCAATTGAAGTTATGCTATTCATGGATAAAAAATCGTGATAAAATCGAAATCGTGATAAAATATTGGAAAAATCGTGATATTCTATTTTTGCCATATAGCCCAGCCCTGGTCTGGGACCATAATTATGGTAGTGTTTTTACTTTTGACAGTAACCACTTGTTTTTTTGACTTTTAGGGAAGACTTAAAAAAAGAGCAACATTTCTGTCACTTGAAGTTGAAATGCCTTGAATATGCGTGAGGCTAATTTAGGTCAAACAGTGTCTGAAATGTCATATCCCAACCGCCCCCGCTCTTTGTTTACTGGGAAACCTGGACGATGTCCTGATTGAAACATCTTTAGTTCATGTGATTCTGACTGTCATATGCATCACTAAGAAAACTGTCCTCTTGAATTGGGAAAATAGAGATACTCTTTACATCAACCAGTATAGAAATCTTTTGTTAGATCATATTACACTTGATATAGCCTCTGCTTCCACTTCAAATCAATCTCTCTGGGCTCCTTTGATCAGTTCCACCACATAGCGATGACGGGGGACCATTGATATTGTCCTGCGGGATGTGGGTGAGGGGGTGGAGGGTCTGAGTTTGGAGTATCTGGACGTTCCCTGGAGGTGGGTTCACTGGGGGTGTCTGAGACTGGGAGGGGTCGTTGCCCCTCTCTGGAGGTGCTTGGGTTGCCTCGGGGGGGGTGGACTACTGGCAGTTGTGAGTGGGGTCCCTTAGAGGTCTTGGCGGTGGCCATGGGTCACTGCCCGGCAGCTGCATTGCCCCTGGGCGGGTCTCGGTGGGGGCCTGGGGGCTCGGGGTGTGGAGGTGGCTGGCCCCGTGGGGGGATCGGGTCCTGACATGTATGCTGCCGGGGAGAAGACAGGAACATGCAGCAGTGCCTGGCCCGGGTTCAGGGGCCTCGGGTAGGCCTTGGCTCCTCTGCTGTCCCATCACAGGGGAGGGGGAAGTCCAGGAGGGGGAGGACCCAACCTTACCTGGATGTCCTATGTCTTTTATAGTCCGGAAGTTGTGCAAATGCAGGGATGGGCGTAGATATTCTGCTGGGGTGGGGCTGGGTTGGTGCCCTTGGACTCCGTGAGGCTCTGTGATGCTGCTGCTTTGGGCCCTGGCAGGATGGACTGGGGTCTCCATGCTCTGGGTGGCATTTTGACAACAGAGGTGCCTATTGGGGCCAGTGGGGGAGCTGGCTCCCTGGAGGGCTAAGCCCAACCAGCCATTCCTCCCCACACATTTCTCTCCTCCTGCTCCCTCATATCATCACACAAACATGCACATAGGACCTTGGGGGGTGGACAAGTCAGGGAGTGCAGGCATGGACCCCATTTCCGCATTCCTGGGGCAACCTGCCCCTCAATTTTATTTGCACCTTATACACTTCCACCGACGACATTCCACGCAAACACACACTTAGGGCCTTGGGAGTGAGCAAATTCAACAGCACTTGGCAGCGGGATTTCTCAGCCTCATCCCGAGTGCCGGTACCCACTTCCAATTTTAAACCGCACTTAGACACTGAGGGCTGTGAGTGCAAGTGGGGTGGTGTGGTGGCATCAGCTGGCATAGGCCAGACGATGCCCACACTGCCCGCTCACCACAGCCATGGAATACACCTCATCAACACTCACTAACACCATATTGGAGCAGGCGGAGTGAGACTAGGGGTCTTAGCACACCTCTGTTGTCGCTTGGCTTCCTGGGGCTGGAGGCTAGGAGGGAGATCCGGCCATCCGGTTGGGTCTGGGGTGGTGGGTTGCTGTGCTCAGCGTTGGGCGAGGGAGCCTGCTCATCAGCACCCCAGCAGAAAGGGTCAAACTCTGGGAACCAGTAATGGTTGTACCCCATGTGCAGCAGTACCGGCACCAGAGTGAATAGGGTGTGTATGGGGAGCATGAGTGGGAGTCCGGCATGCATTTTTGTAAGTCTTTGGTTGTATGTGTATGTGTGAGCAGGAGGGAGGGAGTGTGAGACTGTGTTTGTGTATGACTGTTTATGTCAGGTGGGCCTTTGACTCCTCCCTTTTCCTGGGACTTCTTTTGATGATATAGATCTTCATCTCCCCTCTCCCTGCCACACCTGGTGTGGAGTGTGGTGCCTTGTTCTGCCTGGGTCGTGGCTCCTGGGTCAGGGAGTTTAAGATTTTTGGCATCTGCCTGATCAATCCCGGTGGCTGCCTGGTAAGGTCTGGGTCCCTGGGCTCTGCTGGGTCCCGGCGGGGTGGTCGCCCCTGGGTCCCGGGTCATTGGGTCTCTGGCTCGGCCGGCAAGGGGGTGGGAGGCTGCGGTCAGGCCTGTGGGCTTGCTGCCAATATCTCCCGGGACTCTGCCGGCTGCTGAGCGCCGTCATGGCTGCTCTCGTGGTCTGTCTGTATCTGTCCTGTCTATATGTGTGTGTGTAATCTTGGTCAGGCTGTACTGTGGAGTCAAGTTCCTATGCTCTGGATCGCTGGAGCGCTGGCAATAAAATTCATTCTGATTCTGATTCTGCTGGTTGTGGCCCCCCGGGGCGATCCTCTTCGCCTCTCGAGGGGAGCGGGGTCTTTTCTGGTCGCAGTCTTCCTGGAGTTCCTGCGCTCTGGGGCAGCTCCTGGATCTCTGGGACTTGGAGCTCCCTCGGTCTCCTGCACATCTTTAGGGGGCAGATCTGTGGCCCCTCACACGCTCTATTGGATGCTTCTATAGAGAAACCTTACATATACAAGTGCGTGCACACACACAGGTGCTCACATGATGCTGTCATAAGTATGGACTTGGGCACGTTCAACACATGTCTTAAGGCTATGGTGGGCACTTAATGCACTGTGATTTATTCTCGTGTGATTGTTCAGTTAAACAATGTTGATTATATATTTCTTCATCAAGTTGACACAGTGAAAACTGGATCTTGTTGTATTGTCATTGTGTCCCTTTTTTTTGTTTTGTTTTTTCGTCTCTTTTCTACAAGCAGACTCTTGTTCATTATTGTTTATTTTTGTATAACCCCCCATGAAGAAAATGGCAGGATGTAGATTCTCTCAGCAGAATATTGCATCGCGACAAGATGAGGAACTTTGTAGGTTTTAGTTGTCTGGGATCATAATTATGGTAGACGTTTTACTTTTTTTTTCCATTTGACAGTAACCACTATGTTTTTTTGACTTGTAGGGAAGACTAAAAAAAAAAAGAGCAACATTTCTGTCAGTTGAAGTTGAAATGCCTTGAATATGCGTGAGGCTAATTTAGGTCAAACAACTGTATAGATAAATGTGCGCTGGCTGAATGGTTCCCTACAGAAAGAAATGTAAAATAATATTTGTAACTGTTTCATTTATTAAAGGGATCTCTTTGTTTTTACAGGTACAGTTTTGGTGGAGAACATGCAGATTAATGGCCGTGCACAGGACCCGGGCAGAACCATCACACTCACACTGCTGGATAACTATGACTACTGGGTGTTACTGGATCCATCACAGCAGAGACTTTTCCTCAACAGCACAGGTCGTGTTCTGGACAGAGACGTGAGCAGAGAAAATTCTATTTTTGCATCTATGTCACTGCATTTTAAATTGTTGCAACAAATATTTGGGAAAGGCTGCTGCGTTCTAGAGAAGCAAAAACAAATAAATGAAGTTCTCATAGTTGCACGTGTCTGTTCTTAATAAATTGCCTTCAGCTTCTAAGGGTACCTCGGAAGCACACTGTGCATACATATCAGCCTAAACGATATGTATGGGAGATAAAATATTGGGTTCAAAGTGGTTAGCACATTAGAGGCCATTTTAAAGCACGTGGTTAGATTAAGTGGACTAAGTGCACTTGAGGCAGATGTTATGTTGAGCTATTGATGAGAATACTCAGAAGTATCTTTGGGACAAATTGCTTGAGAGTTGAAGCAGAAACAGTTGACGCAGGGGATTAGCAAACCGCTTTAATTATAAGGCATGTTCACCCTTGTGGCTTAATGTAGGTGATGTCTTACAAGTGTTGTTGGCAAAAGAACAAAGGAGCTGCTTTTAGTATCTGAACAAAACATGCATTTGTTTTTTCACGTCCTTTCTTGTCTTTCTTCCAGCCTCCCATCTCCATCACCTCTATTGTGGTGAAGGTCCAGTGCACCAATTTGCTGGTCGGCACCATCATTTTGCATGAAGTACGGGTCATAGTGAGGGACAAGAATGACAACAGTCCTCAGTTTCATCATCCCCGCTACTATGTTGCAATTAACGAGGTGAGGAAGCACCTCCTCTTGCTAAGTCTTTTTATCAGAATTTGTAAAGTGTGCAGAATCTCTAATATAGATTTGCTTGATTATAGTAATAAACAATGTTTATAAAATGTAATAAAGTTTCAGATTGTAAAGTTTTTTCTTACATGGTCGATGTTTGCACAGTGGCTTGTTTTCCACATTTAGAAGAACTGATAAAGCAGATTGAAAAGTGAAATTATTGTTTCTTGTTGAGTGAATTCATTATTTTGCTTTTAAGGGCATTGCACTTTTTTTGAGATTGCTGCCATATTTTGTTAACATAGCCATCTGCATCTGCCCCGACCATATAGTGAGTCATGCTCCATTGCTGTCAACTCCCCTGAACAAGATTTACTGCCAGGTCCTGTGGACTTTGCTCAGGCCTCTGGGGAACAGCAGTGGTTCTCATACTTAGTTTTCGGTTATTCTGTCAGATTTGCACGAAAGCCTTCAGACTGCTGACTTCAACAGTTTCCCTTTTTATGTATTTTTTTTTGGGTATAATAATAGGGTTGAGTGGTGACAGTAGCAGCTGTATGAAAAAGCTCTTTGCTCTAAGTTGATGTTGCACTCATAGTGGGGTATTTGAGCTGTTGACTTATGTTTTTCTCCTCCACTCATACATTTTCTTCAGCTCACTCCAGTCGGAACAACCATTTTCACCGGCTTCTCGGGAGATAATGGTGCTACAGACATTGACGAGGGCCCCAATGGACAAATAGAATACACCATTCTTTACAACCCCAATGATCCGGTATATGATCAAGTCACACAACAACCAAGACCCTCTACTGCGTTGTAAATTTCTTCTGCAATCATGAATTATTACTCCACCATTCCTTCTTTCTCTTTCATTTGCAGACATCTAACAGGACAGTACGGGTTGGGAACACAATGTCAGGAACTATTCTTTTGGCAGAGAGGCTAAACTATGAAGATAAAACCCGCTACCTGGTGTTGGTCCAAGCCAGCGTGAGTAAACCAACTCATGATGAAATGTTCAGGGAGACAGTTATGGAAAAAATGCACGTTGTAAACATGACAGCGATTTGTTGGTGTTTTATGAGGTTGTTTATCTCAGCAGTGACAGAGTAAATAACTGTTAAAGTCTAAAGCAGAGGTCTAAGGAAGTGCAGATGTTCCTTTTAAATCATTAGGGATCTGAGTTTAAAAAATGCATTTAATCATTTATTATGGCAAAACCCCAACACCTAATTTAGGGTGTACATTTTCATTATATGTCTGTTTTTATTCCAATTCTTGTCAAAATGAATATTTAGAGTGCTCACATTCACAGTTGAAAGAAATAAGCATTTGACTATCTTCAACTCATAACTTTCATCTTGGTATTTCAACTTGCACTGTAAAGTGAGCCATGTCAAAGGCGAATTTCTGCCTCAATTTGAGGTGGACAATAAAGTTGATATCTATCTATCTATCTATCTATCTATCTATCTATCTATCTATCTATCTATCTATCTATCTATCTATCTATCTATCTATCTATCTATCTATCTATCTATCTATCTATCTATCTATCTATCTATCTATCTATCTATCATCTATCTATCTATCTATAACTTAGTAGTTTTACTAACTTACACTGTTTTATTTCATTAAAGTAGCCGATGTTATATTTGAACTTTTATACATTCCTTCACCAACCCAAATACTTTAATTTATGTATACTCTAAATTTGGGGTATCTCCAAGCCTGGTTCTTGAGATCCACTCTCCATCATGTTTTAGTTGTTTCCCTGCTCCAACACACCTGATGCTGTGTTCGAGCAGGTTTGGCAAGAGATGAAGACTATCACACTTTTCACAGTTTTGTCTTGTTAAATGAACCACTTGGATATTATAGTCTAATTATTCTGTGTTTGTATGTGCACATATACAATGTAAAACATTATTATTAGCTTGTATTGATATGCATCCCTGAATGGCTTTTTAACTTTCAACTGGGACAACTTTCATCTTGGGTGCATCATTTTTCCGGACTTTCAGTGAAGCTAGAATGCATTATTGAGCATGTCCTCTCCTTTCTAGTCATCGGCAATTATTATTGTTAATGCTATTTTTTAAGAGCACTAGACAGCTGCTCAGAGGTACTTAAAATCATTTAGGAGTCAAGCCCTTTTCCAAGATATTCCCTCCCTAGCCAGCATGATAGAGCAGACTAAACAGTTTAGGCTGGCATGTGGTCTTCAAATTGGAGAAAAGAAGAGGAGATGGTGTGCTAGCCCTCTGAACTGTTTGTGTCAAGAGTTCGATTAAACTGGGAATGTAAATCCTTAAAGCGATGTGCAGATCACATCTCTGGATGTCATGCTGGGAAGCAGAAGTGCTGCAGCTAAAAACTGATCTCTTTCTGGTCTCTTGCTGTGAAATATTTTCTTAATGAACAGGTTGAGCAGGATGTGGGATGTCTTTTCTGTTTGCCTTCAGTTGTCTGTTTTTGATCATACCATAAACATCTGTCTGATGCATCAAAGTGGCCTCCCATTATGAAGCTTTCAGTGAAAGATGTGGCTTCTTTACGCAGTGAAACATGACATCTAAACTACGCCTAACAGCATGTTTAAATACGTGAACTGATTTATTTATACCATAATAAAACACAAGGATTAGCCAAAGCTGCACACTCTATACTCCCAATGTTTACGTTTGTGGTGCAAAAATGAAGCTTGCAGAGCTTACAGTGATCTTCAGCTTACAGTTAGCCATAACTATCAGCCAAAAATATAAAAATACATAGAAGTATTGCACACGCTCCGCTGCTGTTTCTCACCAGTATCAGCTGATGGAGAGCCCTAGTTTCGTTGCGCCATTCGTGTCAGTGGACACGGTAGGGTCGGGGAGGGGGGAGGGGCTTGACGCTTAGCCTGGCGGGTGGCCAAGCAAAGGCTTATAAAGCGCTGAGGTAAACCCTGCCTTTTCATTCCACCAGCTGCGAAAGCAATAACAGTAATAGTAACGTAATAGCAGTGCTTTACGCACAAGCTCATTCCCAACCGCGACCTGATGTGAAACGGGAGTGAAAGCATTCCACACAGCTGATCCTGTGACGTCACAAAATTATGGGAGAATTGCAACACTAGGCGTCATTTCAGAAGTCCACACAATAATAAGCAAGGAGAAAGGCTGCTGCACGTCTCCTAAAAGGGGTGTGGTTTTTTTTCTGTTCTATTTACATTGGTTACAGAAGTTTAACAGGAAATGACGTATGTCACATGACTTTTATGTTGAAAGTTTCCAGATGTTTTACATTGATTTTGTGTTTGTCTTACTGTCTGGACAGGTCTAAATGGCAAAGTTTGACATATTTTGTAAGTGTAGCATGTAAAAAAAAAAAAAAAGGCTCTAAATGTAATAATAGTGTCCCCTTGCTTCTGGGGCACTTCCAAAACGTTACACTTCGCTACCGGTGGAGAGAACTTCATCCACTATAACGGCGGCTAATTACCATGTAGTACAATTTGCGGCGTTTCACGATGTTTTCACGTCCAGTGGAAAGAAGGGGATGTACTGTAATACGCAAATGCCAATCTGACAATGTAAGGTGATTGGACAGAACTCTGGTTAATATGGTATCATGCATGGTGAACTGATTATAGCTTGGTCAGTGTGTGTTGTGGAAGCACATAAAACATCCTCTTGGCACTGGAAGGCTGGATCTGAAGAGCTTGTTTCTTTTGCAGGATCGTGCTCTGTACCCTCCCAACAGACGATCAGCAACTACCATTCTGACTGTGGATGTCCTGGATGGAGATGACCTGGGCCCCATGTTCCTGCCTTGTGTTTTGGTGAACAACACCCAAGACTGCACCCCTGTCACCTACCGCTCTGCTATCCCTGAACTCACTCAGCCGGTAAGAAGCAAACAGAGGCAAGCGTGAGCACACATCTGCTCATCAACGGTACCAGTGCCTCCTGTTGATCACATTTGCATATTGATATTTTCACGCATCCTGCTTGCCTTTTTTCCTGCCGTTGCGTGCGTGTTTGCACATGCTTTATGCAATTACTATACGCCTCTCAAGACCTCTAATTGTCAGTTTACTCCTAGTTTTGCCACCTCAGCTGGAGGCAGAGGAGGTTTTTCTGTCTCTGCCTCAGCATTTCCTATTTTAGAGGGATTTTTTTAGGTCTGTTTTACTAGCAGTCAGAGCTAAGGGCTGAGCTGGAATGACAGCTAGGCGCCACTGGAAATCACGAAAGGCTGAGAACAAAAAAGGAGGATGGCAGGGCAGTTGAAAATAAAACAGTATGTCTGAGGTAGAGAGCAAGTAGTGCACCAATGTAAGTTATTATATTATATTATATTATATTAAATTATATTATATTATATATCAGATGGTTGAAATAAAAGGTTCGGGTTTTAAGGGGGATTTTCATCTCCTCAAAGGAGAATTACTTGAATCAGATAAGGACTTGCTTTGTCTGCTTTCCTTCTACAGTCTGAATAATTATGGACTGATTCAAACTAAATGAAAAGTCAATCTTTTCCCAGTCCACACATAAATGTGAGAGATGACAAAAGCTGTAACAGGATTGTTGTTCTAACTTTAAAAGGAATAGAGTTAACTTTTTTTTATAAGTTATAATATGAATGTGACCTAAATGTGACCTAAATCCTGAAGGAAGGATTTCTAGTTTGCTAAACTCAAAGCAATTTTCCCTCTGTTTTCTCTGTGTATCTGGTTCGATAATGTCACTTTGGTGATGTGCGTTTGTATTTCTGGACAAATTTTCACACAGAACCTAAAATAGAGTTTCCCCCGTTTGAAAGTTAGCTCTTTCTTGGTATCAAAATGCTTCTTTAAAATTCACGAACATTATATGTGAAATCCATGGCGCATAACTAGCGGAATTAGATAAGTAGATGGGCATGACTTAGGCTACGTTCTGACTGCAGGCAAAACATGCGAGCCATATCAGATTTTTTATGACAGTGAACGCACAGATCCAACTTTTTTTTAATGCAATCCATGTCACTTGCATATGTAGTACTAATTCCAACACATATCGGATGTTTTTGAAAGCGACTGCAGTCTGAACGGTCATGTCACATTAAATCCATCTCCTACGTCACTTTGAGCGTTGTGTGTGGATGTTCCTGAGGAGAAGCGCTGACAGAAGTGTTTAGGAATCGGTCTGGATATCCTGTTTTAGGTTTTGGAATCAAAAATACAGGAGAGGCTGTGAACAGCAACCGTAGGTGCTGCTGGAGTGAAGCGTCTCACCGGTTTCCGTCTCCATGAAGGGAGGGGGGTTCTCCGTGAATGAATTAGTACCGGAACATTTTTGGTAAATAATAGTTCAGGGAGACAGCGGGAACAAGGAGTAAAATAGTTTACAGTTTTCAACCCTCTGGAGGCAGGCGTTGCAGATTTGCAACGTTAAAACCTACCTACCTGGTTACTCCACATATGTATTTCATGAGCATTTTTTAACTCAGAAGTACCTCTGAAGGACTTAGCTGTTCATCCTTTTATCTAAACTTATTTTGAGCTGGCAGGGTTAAAACAGTTTCCAGCCCAAAACGGAAGATTTAACAGGTGTGATTGTTTTCACTGATTATTTAACCACAGGATCAGGATTACGTCACAACTCCGCCGCTCCTGGTTTCGGCTCCACTGAGTGTGACTTCTTGTCTTCTGCGCACGTGGGTTGCTTTGGTGCAGCAGAGCGTTCACACTGGAAAGAGTTAGATGTCGCATTTCAGTCAAAGTGTGAACGGCCAAACAAAAAAATTCTGATTTTCTCTAATTATCTGAATTGAGCATCAAGGCCTGCAGTGTGAACGTAGCCTTAGGCTCCCTATTAAAGTAGAAGTAGTACAAGAAGAACATTTCTTTATATAGTGCCTCTCAAAAATCACAAGGTGCTTCACAAGAACCATAAACAATTATTTAAATGATTCTAAATCAGGAGTAAAAAATACCTTTTAATGTTATGATGGTGCAAAGTCATTAGCTGTCATGTTTGTAAATAAATGTGAGTACGATTTGGAGAAAATCATGAATCGAACTGAAATTGCAATATCTGCCTGAGAGATGAATTCAATTTCTTGAAATCGTTCCGTTTCAGTAAAGTAAAGATGCTTGAATAAAATATTGAATTTTATTGAGGTTTTGCATGTTACTTTAAAGTAGTTAATTAAGGAATAGCATAAAATTGCCAAGGCTGCACTTAAAATATATTTCAATATTTTTTTTATATATTTCAATAATTATTGATATCAAGAACAAGAACATTTTTTTAATCAATATGCTTTTTTTCTATATCGGCAGCTCTAGTTGGGATAGCTTTAAAAACATCTGTCTTTTTTTTGTTTTGCTCTCCTCTTCGTACTCAAGAAAGATCTTTACATGGTGCACGCTTATGTGAGCAACTAACCAGGCATTAACAAAGAACTGCTGTTTGACACCAGCAGATTCAACACGTACCTTCGATTGTATATCCTCAAGATGCGAAAAATAAGTTTAGAAGAAGAAGAAAAGATCCTCTCAAGATAAAAATCACAAGGCATTTAGCAGCTTTCACTTAGTTTTTGCTGCCTCTTTCCCTTGCCACTGGGAGGTTTGTCTTCCCATAATTGATGAGTGAATTATAATTAATGGCAATGGCTATATAGTCATTATTAAGTTGATCCGTATTATTATTATTATTATTATTATTATTATTTGCCCTGGGGGGATGTAGTGCGGTCTATGGGGGTAATGGGTAATGACTATTGGAGGAGGGTATTATAGCTAATCATCACTGTGCCGAGCTAGGAGGATTTGATTTAGTACACCTCCATACATTGTAAAAGCTAGAGGGCTGATTGAGGAGGGGTGTGAGGATTACTCCCAAGCTCAAGGATATAAATATACCCCCTCAGGGAGGAATTCTTTAACCAAAGAGCTGTTAGCCATGTGTCTGTCTGTGCTAAGGAAGTTCAGCACGGGCCCGTTAGCACATAGTGTAACAGCAATGTGGAAGCATTAATTTTACCCTTTTGTTAGGTTAAAGTAGTTTAGAATATCTGGCTAATTTTAAATGGCCTATATGTGATGTAGCACCTTTTAGAGTCGTAGACTCCCCCCCCCACCCCCCCCCACCCCCCCCCACCCCCAGCAAATGTTGATTACAGCATCAAACAAGAGATGCACCAAGACCACAAGAGTTTGCTATTAAACAAAAAACACATTCTGTCATTTTCCTCCAATCTTACCTGCAGTTCAAAAGTCAAACTGAAAGTTATATCAACAGATTATTTAACTTTGCACTTAAGAAACGATGATAGAACAAGCAATTCAGTGTTTATCAAACACAAACATTTTAATCTTACCCGGTAAAACGTGTTTGCTGCAGATCCAACGAACCTTTGAGGGCTGCTAGTCCATTTGATTGGTCACTGTGGTTCATCTCCATCCTCAGTCTCCATCAGTTGTTTAAAAAGAAAACAAGTTCCTTGTCCGTTAGTGTAGCCACCATTTGTCATTTTACTGTCAAATGATCTAAATAAAAGCAATTAAAGGTTAAAAACTGGCTTGTTTTGACTTGTTTCATAGGAGTACCAGCATGTGTAAATGGTCTTTCTGCCAACCATCATGGAAAAATGGGCGGTCCCAGGTGCCATCATGTGCACAGGGTCAATACCAAAGTCAGCCAAAACAAATGCATATCCGCTTTTTATCTGTGTTGGTGCAGCGCTCCACTCTACATTTTAAATTATATCAGTGCTGAAATGGTCGCTGACACCACAGTGACTGTATTCCACACTAGGAAGTGCAGCTCCAGTGTCATCCAGTCACTGCAAAGCATCTGGTTTTTTTTTTTTGTGAAAGTAGGAAACAGCTTATTAGATCAAGCTCAGATTTAGATCAGCCTCTTGAGATCATGCTGTTTTTCACATGGCAGCACAGTCCTAAATAATATAAAACTCATCACATGAGATTCGCACCAGAAAAAAATTATTAATACAACTCATGGAAAATATTTTCTGGAGCAGATGATCTTTAGGCAGGATTTCACGTATCAGAACATGTATTATCTCTAAACACCGATGCACTCAGTCATTTTAGAGACAATATTGCATGATTTCATTAAATTAGATAATTATGTTATTAACGACATTATTAACAGAAGATTAAATGGATTTGCAACTGATTTTCTCTCTCTGTTCTGATTTTCCTGTCCTCCTTGATCAGAGCAAACTGAACCCACTGAACGTGACTCCACCTATACGGGCCATCGACATGGACAGAAACATACAGCCCCCTTCAGACCGACCTGGAATTCTCTATTTCATCCTGGTTGGTATGTTCCTCACAATACACCTTGAATAATCCAATGCCCTTTGGTCTTCTTCGGTCAGTCGGTATTCCATTTCATGTCCTCTGATTGTTTTCTTTGGCATTGATGATCTTACAGTAATTTGCTTTGTTCTCCATCACAGGTCAGCCAGCAACGTACCCAGAGTATTTCTCCCTGAACAAGACGACTGCAGAGCTGCAAGTTCTGAAACCAATTAGCAGAGACATGTACCAAAGGTTCACACTGGTTATAAAGGTAACAATTAAATTAGCATTTCAGCTCCTCATTTGTTAAATGTTGCATTATCTGTTCCAGTAATAATTTTGCATTTATTAAAAAAAATTCATCAGTTGAAGAATTGTTTTCACAATCTGTTCAGTTCTGGACAAAGTGGACAAAATTTCAATTATTCATTATGGTAAATTAAAGCTACAGATGTTAGAAACAGAGATTCAGAGCCTTTATTAACCCTTTGATGCATAATGGTCACTACAGTGGACAGCTACTCAAAATTGTTATTTATTTGTTTTTGCTATTAAGCACAGCTGTTGAAGACTTTATTGCATTTGAGCCCCTCCATTTGGACTTCAGTAAGCCAAGCCAACATATTTCATGCTCAGAATGCACGCTGTCCACTGAGATGGACATGTAATAAACTATTTGTAAATTATAAAATTTTACAAAAAATATTTGTTGAAATTTGTTTCATTCACACCTAAAGACGAATGAAAAAAATTGTTAAAAAAAATCATGGTTGAAGATTTCATAATTCATGCATCAAAGGGTTAAAGTGACGGTGCGTATTCTTTTTACATTCATCTCTGGGAAAATCCATTGAAAATGAATAAAAAGAAAATACTTGTGGCTTTGTAGCACATAACCATAAAAATCGGGCATGGGTCTAATTTTACTGGGGGACGCCATGTTTCCTTCTGGCCGGCTCTGGGTCCTGCACGTGTTGATAACATCACACTAGATGATTGGCTGACTTAAGACTTATGGAAGGCACGTTCGAAAACATGTAGGCAGTAACAAAAAGAAATTTATGAACATAACTGCTAAACTCTTTCCAAAACACGTGAAAGAACAGAATCGAAAGAGATTCAATATATTTTGACCAAGTGGCATTACCGTAGTATGATGACATCATCGGCAGGCGTAGGACCCCGAGCACATCTGGGATCTACAGCATCAGAAAATTACAGTGGGCATTGCATTCTCTTGTTGGAATTAACCAAAAGACCATCAGAGTCTGAGGACTCACGATGAGGTTGTATGCTTGATCATTTACCGTAATGTTTTTTTAACCAGTCGCAGCGATATGGTGTAAAACTACCCTGACATGCATGAACTGCCCCCCTAGCACCAGTAATTTACACACTGCCACTTTAAACGGAAGCTGGCTTAAAAATGTGAATGCATATATATATAGTCCAACCCAAGGTGAAATAACAGTCGTAAAAACTTATATCATGATATCTTTAACATTCATCCTTACCTGGTCTACTCAGATAACCTCAGTTCCAGAAGTCATTAACCCTCTGGAGGCAGGCATTGCAGATTTGCAACATTTAAACCTACCTGGTTTCTCCACATACGTAATTCATGAGCATTTTTTAACTCAGAAGTACCCTTGAAGGACTTAGTTGTTCGTCCTTTTATCCAAACTTATTTTGAGCCTGAGATGGTTAACCTTATCTTTGCCAGCTTAAGAAACACGAGCGAGAAAGGTGTTATGATTTATAGACTTAACAGGAGGATAGGCAGCTGGCCTCTCCTGAATCATAATTTTAAGTTCAGCGTTCAGTGATGCTGGCGCAGAGCAGCAGTGCAGGTGAACTTTCTACCTACACATCACTAACTCCTAGAGACATCTGAGCACTTCATAACCTGCCATTTACCAGGAGAGCTGGTGAGCAAAGAGATTACACAAAGACTTTATTTTCACAAGTATAAAGACACATTTATCACGTTGGGGGCATTTGCATGTATCTAGGTGGACCGTATGAATCAACAGGGAAGGAGGAGGTCCAAAGGGGAAGTGGAGAAAAATTCTGTTAGATGGTGGGATGTGTGTGGTGGGTTCTTGGAGCTTCATCTGTTTTTAGTCATTCAGAGGAGATGGAGCTTTTGCTCTAGGACTCTGAATATCAAGAAAATGAGAATCGAGGGTGCTCTGATCCATTCGGTGTATTTTGTCTACATACCTAATGCTTCTGGTAAACATACGGGGGAAGAGACTCACAGATGCACAGGCGTATCACAGAAAACACATCTGTTGTCCTTTAATAGTCATTGCTGATCTTGATAGAGGCACATCCATAGAGATGACTTGGAGGAAATGAAGACAAGTGGGAAAGGCATGCGGGTATGGAGAAATTTTTTTAGGAAATTTATGAAATAATGGAAGGAGAGGAGAAGGATGTGCTGTGTGACACTTAAATAATGATGAAATCAGAGCTAGAGAATCAAGATTGATTGATGAGCAGTGACTTTTGTTAGCAGTGGCTTTTAATGTTGGTTTGTGTGTTGTTGCCGTGGAGAGCCTGTCATTGAGTGCTGCCTCTCTGCAACAGGGAGAGCACTGAAGAGCTAAATCACAGAGGAACAATGAAATATTGTGCCCTGCGTTGTCGCTCCTGCACACACACACACACACACACACACACACACACACACACATATATATATATATATATATATATATATATATATATATATGTGTGTGTGTGTGTGTGTATGTATGTGTGTGCGTGCACGTGTGCAGGCATGTGTGTTTCCCTCAGTTTATGATGTGGACAGATTGGATCTGATTGAATACAGTGTATGTTTTCTGTATTGTCCCTCAGATAAGGGATAGAGGTTGAGGGAAATATTCTGAAATAATATTGTCATAGATAGCATGACGTATAAACTTCAGCTCACATGAATTTGCAAAAATCATGGTGTAAAAATGCTGAATGTTAAGGTTTTTATTTATTAAGGTTTTTACAAGCAACAACAGCATTATGGTCCTTATTTTTCCCATTTCCTTGCACTAACGTATCCTGGTGTTACAATCCACACGCTGTAAAACAAGGCCAGTGCAATTGTACTAATGTGCAGAATTAGTTCCAGGTCATGGCTTAAACTGATGTTGCCTCACTCCCCCTCTCCATCTGGATTTTCAAAGCCCTTGACGTTCCTGAAGCAGCCCAGTGTGGGAGGCAGTGGTGGCACGTGCCCGAGACATGAAAGACTGCAGTGGCATCTCAACCAGATCACAATCATTTGATTTGGTGGTAGTGTCTGACACAATCATGAGATTATTTACAGCTTATTAAAGTTGCTGTATATATTCGCTGCTGAGCTGGTGCCATTTTTGATTTGTGCTAATGCACTATGGAACCGAGGCAGTGACATTAGGCACCAGCTGTGCAGGAACAAATGGAGAACTGGTGATTAGAATACAGTGATTGTTCCAGAAATCTACGGTTCAGTTGTGTTTCCCACAAATATTTTTCTGTGCAGCTCTGGAAATGTACATGCAATCTGATCTAACTTGTATTATTTATCACATTTCCACATCTATGTACTTACAACTTAAACATCAATGGAAGTTTAATGTTCTGTTTGAGTTTTGTACAGTTTGAGGTAAAATCTTTGTTCATCTTTGACCTGGGCTTGACTTGTTTTTTATGATTTAGCTTCATGCATTTCTTGATATTCACAGACTATGAGAAAAATGTATCAGCAGCCAGTGTCAGTAGTAGCAGTGTTTCCCTTACATAGGCGTAGCCGTGGCGGGCCGCCAAGGCAGAAATTCCAGCGCCACGCCTACAAGATCCCAAGTTTTATTTATTTATTATTTATTTTTTTGCGCCGTTTCCCGAAGAAGCAGCGGAAATTACTCTGTTGTTGCTTGTGATCACAGCCGGCAGGCAGCAAGGAGGAGGAGGCAGAGCAGGGTGGTTACAGGTAGGGATGAGCCGGACACTCGTTTCAGACGAGTATCCGGTACGGATAAAGCATTTTTGACGAATACGAGCATGAAACGAGTAAAACTCGTAAATATCTGTAATCGTGCTGAAGGAAAATCCTCATTGGGTAACTGACTGTCTTCACGCTCTGTGATTGGCCAGTCACATAGAGCGCCCGCCCCTCCCTACACAAAACTCTGCAGCCGGAAGTTCAGAGTTCAGTCCGGCCCATACACACACACACACACACACACACACACACACACACACACACACACACACACACGCACACACACACACACACACACACAGACCATAACGGATCTCTCTGTGCTTGCTTCACTGTTGCTCTTGTTCCTTCAGTACTCCCTACGTTTTCTTCAGCTCGCCTCTTTTTCGGTTTAATATTTAAAGTTACTTTTTTCGTGATGTACTGTGAAATACTTGCATTTGACAAGACCGAGCTGAAAACGGCTCGTGCATGTGTCGGTCACTGCCTCCACTCCAGTTGGGTTTTTTGAATTATTTTAACTCTCTCTCTCCCTCTCATCGTCTCTCTCTCTCTCTCTCTCTCTCTCTCTCTCTCTCTCTCTCCCTCCCTCTCATCGTCTCTCTCTCTCTCCCTCTCATCGTCTCTCTCTCTCTCCCTCTCATCTTCTCTCTCTCTCTCTCTCTCTCTCTCTCTCTCTCTCTCTCTCTCTCTCTCTCACACACACACACACACACACACACACACACACACCTTAATCAACATTGTTTTGTTTAACTGTGTGTGGGAAAAATGCCAACAACATTAGGAAAAAATCAGTTTAATCAAATTAAAATAAAATAAAAAGTTTAAAAGTTGTGTCTGGTTCTAGTATTTCATATTTCCTAGATCCTACAGCACGAGTTCAGATGCATCAATTCATGCACTTAAATATTAATGTTCTGATTTTACTGAAAAACTTGTTCTGTAATACTTTTACTATTGTGATCAAAAATATTTAATCTCAATTCTGAGGCTAGTCTGTAAACAGTTTTCAAATAAACAGTAGTTTATAAATAAACAACTTCTGATCAATCCATATCAATTTCAGATTTAAAATAATGTATTGATGTAAACCACACCCACTAATTTCCGGATAATAAATAAGAGGTGCATTCATCTGTGTATCTCCTTTGATCCGCATTAGTGATATTTTCAGCACCAGAACAATGAAGCAAAGAAACAGATTCCTGAGTTTATGTCAGTAATTTTATTTATTAGGTACATTTGACCTGTTCTATTTTTCTCTGAAATGAGATCAAATCAGT